GGAGGCGGTCGGAGAAGAGGGCGGGGTGTAGAAGGTGGCGGCGGGGGATGGAGCGGAGTCTGAAGGGGGCTGGGGGTCTTGCCAGACGGGGGGCGGGGGGAGGGCGATGAAGTCTGGGGCGCGGGTCATGGTCTGCGCTGCTGTCGCATCCTCACAGTGCACCTGAGCAAATGCACTTTGATCACACAGTTTTTCAAACAATACAATACATGACGTCATCCCTAATAGCCTACGATGACGACACCGTCCCCCGCACGACCCCATCAAGCTGTCGGGCGACATACTCGATGTTGTGACTGTTCAGCCCCGCCATGGAGATCCGTCCGTTCGCAGTCAGGTAGATGTGCGCCTGCTCAACAAGCGCCTTGCTCTGCTCCCCGTTGATTCCAGTGAAGCTGAACATCCCTATTTGCTCAGTGATGTGCTCCCAGTTCCCCGGCGTCTCAAGCACCTGCGTCAGAAGCCGATGCAGCTCCTTCCGCATGTCGATAATCCGCCCCGCCATGGTCCGAATGTCCAGCTTCCATTCCTCAAATAGCTCAGGGCTATTCAGGATCAACGACACCTGCAGTCACTTCTAGTCAGCTACGCGCCACAGCTGCCAACTATCCACGTACAAGTCTCGCGCCGTGAGAAGGCGGGTTACTGATCTCGCTCCGCTGTAACACCGACAGCTGGCTCTTCACCCGGTTCGCCGTCTCCTTGTCGCGGGAAACGACGTGAAGCGCACCCACGCGCTCCCCGTAGAGCCCGGCATTCTTTGCAAAGCTCTGTCGCACCCTGGTCAGCGCAAAGAGTTTCACTCCATCATCTCCAACCTTACCTGGCAGACGAGTAGCGGAAGTCCCCGCTCCACAAAGTGCCTCACAGCCCATGCGTCCTTGTCCAGGTCTCCGCTCGCAAACCCTTGGTAGGCGCAGTCGAAGAATGAATAGTGCTTTTTGGCGGCGATGACCTCGGCGATAGCCTTCCACTGCTCCTGGGTCGGATCCACTCCAGTAGGGTTGTGCGCGCAGGCATGGAGCAAGAACACAGACCGCTCTGGAGCGTCCCTTAACGCAGCAAGCAGCCCTTCAAAATCCAGCCCTATGGTCTTGGGATCGTAATATGCGTAGTCGACGGGCTCGATTCCAACATTTCTAAAGATGGCGTGATGATTGGCTGTGGAACGCGTTAATTCAATGCCTCAAGTAGCAAAGTATATCCCTACCCCAGGTTGGGTTACTGAGATACACCTTTGGGGGTCCATTGAACTTGTAGAACCGAGACAGGAAGAGCGCTCCGAGATGGTTGGCGCCCGTGCCGGAGATCGTCTGGACGCTGACCACCCTGTCTTCCTTGATTGCGGGGGAGTCGGGCCCAAGGATCAACTTTGCGGCCGCAGCGGTATACTCCGCAAGTCCAGTGATCGGGAGATACTCGTGATCAAGTGTCTCATCATTCAGCAAAATGGCGGTGGCCTGGTGGAACGTGAGGGAACGCGAAGAAATCCGTAATCAGCCTTCTTGTGTCGCGAAAAATCGGAAAAAAGGGAAGGACGGGGAAGGACGGAAGGAAAGGAACTCCACCTTCTTGACGACGGGAAGCACCCAGGGCTTGTTGTTGTCGTCGCGGTAGGCGCCGACGCCCAAGTTGACCTTGTCTTTGAAGGTGTCCGCCTTGTATGCGGCGGTCAATTTGAAGATGCTGGAGCAATGTTGTTAGCTCGAAGCAACTAGCCCGATGAATGGGAAGCACGCACCTGTCTGGGGGAGCGAGAGGGACATCCTGCCAGAGTTCTGCTCGCGACGAATGAGTCTCGGAACGGATTCAACAGCACCCCACGGGGTAGTAGGCATCCAGGCTCGCCAAAAGACGCGTTCCTACTCACCTGCCGACATATCTGATCCAGACAGATGCGAAATAAGCTGCTTGATTCTAGTGGCCATCGCAGCGAGGAATTAGCGTCTAAGAGTAACAAGAGACGAGAATAGATAGAAATAAAGAGGGATCGCACGCGCCGTGCTGGCTCGCCGGGGTTATATGGTGGCGAGCATAGGCAGAGGAGTAATCAAATGCTTCAACGGCCGTGAAGCAGAATCGCCTGCCCATCATGGACAATAACGAGTTCCACGTGATAGTCTCATAAAGCGCGGGCCCATAGGTCGTCCTGCGACGCCGCCGTGCACGCTGAGGAGGCTGAAAGGAGCACTCACCTGTGTTGTGGTGGTTGAACGTTGAAGAGTCGATGGCTCCTAAGATGACTCCCGAGGGTTATCGATTGAATGCCATAAGCATAGACCTCGAAACTATATACCCCCGATTTCCGAAAAAGAACGTGATCGATGCGACCAGCCCCGACCCGGCTGGCTCTAAGTCCGCTGCTCTGCGCGAGGGACCAGAGGTAAGTCCTCTATGCAACCTATGATATCGCCTCGACGCTTCTATCGCTCTATCCCCGTAATGCAACAGCCGTTCAGACAATGGAAAGTTGCAGATGAATGTCATTGGGAAAGCATGGCCGACCTCGACCGAATGATGATTACAATACGAGACTACACGGTACTACCTGGAGAAAGATAAATGTCCTGGGGCTAGTAATTAAGTGAGAAAGTGTGTACAAGCTGCCGGGAGGTATTAAGGGATGAAAGATGAGCATGACGGAGGCGAGGTCCTGCACATGTAGGTGTAGATGTGGCAGTGGCTGTGATGAAAGACATGAGTGCGGTGGGGAGACGACTACGCAGTAGCCATCTTGGAAGCAACGGTCCGCTCGCTCTCAAGCTTCAGCTTGTTGCGCTCGAAGGCCTGTTGCCGGCAGTCCTCTAGGTTTGAGCAATCGTGATGCTCAGGGAGACGGTGCTGTAAGTGACGATGACGTGAGTCAGACGACATTAAATAAACGATAGGTAAAGGAGAAGGACTCACCGAACCACAGAATTGCGCACGGCAATGGGGGCATTCACCGACGATGCGCAGGGCTGCAGAGCTGCACTGGCTCTCAGTGCCGATTTGGAACTGGCAGCGCTTCTTAGCAGGCATGGTGGAGGTCCTGTGAGGTACTGGAGAGGAGAAAGGGTAGTGGAGGCAAGCTGAAACTGACAAAAGGCCAATTAGCTCTGCGACGTGGCAAAGGGACAATGGACAGACCTGGAGACGAAAGTGGGTTGGGGTAGGAGGGATCGAGGCGAGGCAGAGAGGAGGCTTTTATATATGGACCAGCGACGCGTAATTGCCTTATGTAAGCGACGGGCACTGCCACCAGGCTCTTCTCCGTTCCGGGCCCGATCACTCCCCGCATGCCCGATGCTGCCAGGAACAACTTAAGTACAAGCTCATCCATGGGGTATCAGAGAGGTCATTCATTAACATCCGCGTCCACCAATGGGCCAAAAAGATCACTAGAATACGAAGGGGAAGCAGGGCCTGTAAAATATTAAAGTGTCCATACGCGATATTTAACAGACTGGGGCGTAAGCATAATTCAAGATCATTCATTCCTGCCTAGAAGAACCTGCTTGTCTTTCGTTGGTTAGCCACCGAGCAGACGAAGGAATGAGAACGCACTTTTAATTGTTATTGTTCTTCGAGGCTTGTACCTGGTTGTTAACGACAACACCAACAACGATACCGATGATAATGAGGAGAACCAGAGTGATGAAGAAGCATATCCACCGCTTTTTGCGGGCGGCGCGAGCGGAGGTCACGGCCTTCTCTGTGTATTGAAGCCTAAAACATTTATGTTAGAGAGGTCAAATTTCAAATGATCACTACAGGACACACCCTGCTTCTGTATCTTTCGCCACTCCTGCTGCTTGCGTCTGAATGACATTAATCGTCTCGTCCTGTTGTTCCACGAGGACGCTCATCTGCAGCTATAGTTAGAGGTACGAAGTAAGAGGGAGGCACGTAAGACCCTACGTCATTGAACAACTGCGCCAGCTCTGCCAGAGTCTTCTCGATACGTTTGATGTCTTCGTGCCGTTCTTGGACTTCACGATAAGCCGCTCGCGAATCAGTGTATCGAGAATTCATGAGCTGCAAATGTCGTCAATGATGACACTGTCTTATCAGAAAAGAGACGCACCGCTTGGCTGAAAATCTGACCACCCTGTTCATCATTGACGACTGCCCGAATTTCCTCCGGTGTTGCATCGGGTTTCACTGCCAGCGTGTTAGCTTAAGAAGAGGGCAGACAATGATAACATACCAATTTTGTACTGTCTCTCCATCCGTTGCTTATACTTCGTACGATATTGTTGTTCCACATTTTGGTAATTTTGAATGGCCTCAACGAACTTCGACTTTACGAACGCCGTCTTTCGGATACATTAGCCATGTGTAGCGGTCGTATACAGGAGGATGCGCCCACCTGCTGCTTCCGTATTTGCCCATCACGCCCCGAACCGCCTTGCGCCTCCAACGCCTTGACACGCCGCTTGAGGGTTGCGCCGAGTGCGCTCGTGTCCTCCACCAGCTCGTCAAGTTGTGCCGCATTCCGTTGGGCGGCAACATCGTCCATGTTGTTTAGCGACCGTGAGTGGAGGTCGCCAATTCGTGCAACATTGTCGTTGAGCGTTCGGATGGTGTCTTGGATGGAAGAGATCTGAGCAAATGGAAGAAGCGAATAAGATATCCAGCGTTGGTGCCAGGTGTCGCAGCACGGACCTCGCTGTAGAAGGCAGACATGTCACCTCCCCCTCCCCCTCCTGTTGGCGTGGATGGAGCCAAGTGTGTCCTGCTGTCCCTAACATCAGACATTTCATATGCGCGGTCGTCCTGTTGTGCGTATGGGTTGGTTCTCCTGCCTTGATAGCCCCCGTTTCCTGACGCCTGCGTCGGATACGAGTTCCTGTACGGCACATGAGTCACACAGAAAGGGGAGAAGGGCACCTACTCACGAGCTCACATTGCCCTGCTGGGCCTACATTCGAGAAAGTTGTCAGATAAGGAGGCCCTCTGCGAGACTGCTGGAACCTACCCTCATAGCGGCGAGTCGGTCTCTGGCCATGATTGATGTGGGTGTTTGGAATAGGTTGCGATGTTGGCTGAGATACTAGAGTAATATATAGGAGATACGAAAGAGGAGTGAGTGCTGGGAAGGGAGTGGAACGAAGGAGTGGAACGACACTGGTATGTAAACCACCACTGTGTCAGTCTGGTCTCCTGCGTCGGGGAAAATGGCTGTACATGGCTTCTCGCACACAAACATCCTCAAACACTCGCTTGATGGAGCCAACATACAGGACATCGCGGTGGCGTTGCGTACGGTGCTTGATCGAAATCCTAGACAGAAATGCTGCGAGGTCGCAAGACTCAAATAAAATTGGATGTCCCGAGTGGGCCCACGCGGTGTAATCATATCATATCTGAGTCCAGGAGGTAATATTAAATCGTCAACAATTATTTGTCTACGCTTCATTCAATTCGCCAGGCTTGCTCGAAGAACAGCAATTTGGCGTTCTACCATTTTTCGGCTGGTTCCCCCAATCGCTTCACGCCTCTCTACACTGGCCTCGAAGTCAAACACGTCATAAATGTCTTCAGTGAACTCTTTGCTCAGAGCTTTGAAATCATCCATTTTAAGATCGCTGATCTGGCACTGGCGCGCTTCGGCCAAGGCGACTGCGCGTCCGGAAATGTGGTGTGTTTCTCTGAAAGGGATCTGGAGCGGCTGTTAATACCCGCGAGACATAAAATACGGAGTACCTACCCCTTTGCGGACGAGATAGTCCGCGAGATCGGTTGCAAGAACATCCATAGTCAAGGCCGCTTTCATGTTCTCGCCGTGCACCTACGGCCTCCTGAGTCCTGTCCTTGCCCGGCTGAATAAGAAAAGGTACACACTTCCAGGGTTGCAATCACTCCTTCAGCAATTTGAAGACATGCAGTCAGGTTATCCACGGTGTCAAAGAGTGGTTCCTTGTCCTCCTGCAAGTCTTTATTGTACGTCGAGGGAAGGCCCTTCAACGTCATCAAAAATCCTGCCATCTAGAAAAGGTCAATTTGAATGCACGTCGAAAAGGTTGAAAAGAGGACGTTTCCAAATAGACGGCCAGTCTTTCCGCGGAGCAACTCGAGAGAATCTGGATTTTTCTTCTGAGGCATCATGCTGGATCCCGTGCTGTACAAGCAGTGAACACACAACGACATTTTTTTGCCATAATCCCCGTACCTGTACGCATCACTCAGTGTTATGAAACCGAATTCCGCTGTTGAATAGATGATAAGGTCCTCTGCGATCTTGCTTAAATGAGTCATGACCAGACTAGACCACATCAAGAACTCAGCGACGAAGTCGCGGTCAGCAACGCCCCACAAGCTGTTTTCAGCTACGGACAGGAAGCCGAGCTCTTTTGCGAGGAATTCTCGATCAACGACGAAAGGATTGCCTGCGAGGGCACCGCTACCAAGAGGCAACACTGAAATTCGAGGTACAAGTTGGCGAAGTCGATCGAGATCAGCTCGAAGGGAAAGAGCATACGAGAGGAGTAGATGTGACCACCGAATTGGTTGACCCCTCTAAGATGAAAGTGAGTTGAAGGATACTGGCACGACGAAGGCAACTTACCTGGAGGTGAGTATAGCCAGGAAGAAGATAATCTTTCTCACTGTCAGCACGTTCAACAAGAACACGAACAAGAGCGCCAAGACTCTTTTCTGCAACCTTGGCTTCTTCCAGGAGCCAAAGACGCAAGTCTGTCGCGACTTGGTCGTTTCGCGAACGGCCAGTGTGGAGTTTGCCGCCAAGTGCCCCGATAATTTCGCTGAGCCGACGTTCGTTGGCGGTATGGATATCCTCGTCGTCTGGTTGTATCTGAAACTACTGGGATACTTACTTGCCGTTGCTTTGTCTAAACGGATATAAGACTCACAACACCATCTGCCCATTCTTTGCCGACTTGCTTCAGTCCTTCGATAATTCGCGCCTCCTCGTCTTTCGTAAGAATGGCGACCAGAGACAAAGATTTAGCATACGCAATCGACCCCCTGATATCCACCTCGTGCATCCTCTGGTCATACTTCAATGACTGGTTGAAGGCATGCATCCTGTTGGAATCAACTCAGGAGGTAGGACAAAGGTAGGGATCGATTGACGCACAGAGGATCCGTCTTACCGGTGAACCGGCCACCCCAGAGCTTTTGTTTCGCAGGCGCATCCGACATGGTGATTTCAGTTCAGAATTTTGAAGACCGAAGTTTCGATAATCTGGAGCGAGTCAGAATTGCGGCTATAAATGGAGTCTCTGGGCGGCTAAAGCCGATTCCCCGAAAGGGGGGGACGCCGGTCCGTGACACGAGCTTAACCACTGACGACGACTCCCGGGAAGGTACCCCAGGTCCACGTCTGCCTATACATAACGCCCACTACGCCCACTCACAAATGGCGTCAAATGTTCGGAGGGTTCTGTTGTGTAGCTCTATTGCCCTGAACGCGTACGTCTTACCGCTAATATCAACACTAATCGCTCATTAACTGGCATCTCAGGCTCTGCGCGGGCGGCATGTTTACATTTCCTCTCATTTCGCCTGTCTTAGCCGCGCACTGCAAGCTGAGCCAGCCTCAGCTAACGACAATTATTTTGGCGTAAGGATTTGCTCCATGACCGGGTCCTCCCGTGTAACGCTAGTTTATAGGGGAATGATGAGCCAATATACAATCGCTGCTCTCGTAGGCTCGGTGATAGACCGTTATGGACCTGGCGTCTGCTCCCTCATCTCAGCATTATCGTTCTCCTCTGGTTTCGGCGGATTTGCATTCGAAGTTTACAGGAATCCAGACGCGCTCCCTGAATCAGCAACTGCTTTATTCTATCGGTTTACCTTCTTCTTCCTGCTGGTTGGGCTGGGGTCCGTATTCGGGTAAGTGTTCAGATCAATTATTGCTGGTCGAGTGATGACATGGCGTATGCAGCTATTTCTCTGCTCTATTTGCAGCTTCCAAGTCGTTTCCAAACTACGGCGGCGTTGCCTCCGGTACAAGCCTGGCATTCTTTGGACTCTCCCCTCTGTGCTTCTCTGTAATTGCCTCAGCATTCTTCACCGATTCCGCTGGAGCACTGAATGTTACGCACTATATGGGCTTCATTGCACTACTGACCACCTTCGTCTATACCCTTGGCTTCATCAATATGCAAGCCGTGCCACCTTCATCTGATAACTTCACACACGTTGAATTCAATAACCACGAGGGCCATCGCGAAGAGGAGAGGCCTTTGTTACCTCCTAAGCGCGCTGTTGACCCAACAGTTCCTGAACTGTTGCAAAAGACGGACTTCTGGCTGATCGCACTCGTCTGCGTACTGATTCTTGGAGTTGTACGTATTTTCCTCTCACATTGTCCCTGCTCTTATCTATCTATCCTTTTGTATTAGTGTGAGATGATCATATCTAACATTGGTACTATTGTCGTCTCACTTCCGCTTCCTCCAAGAGAGTCGACCTCAGGCACAGTTCTACCAAATTCCGCTACAGCCTCCCAAGTGAACCTTATTTCGATCGCAAACACCATTTCTCGCATTTCTGTTGGACCACTAGCAGATTTTATCTCTCCTGTTGCCGCCTATCTTCCAACAGGGGCCCAGATATCTCCGAGGAAGCATATCGTTAGCCGATTCGCATTTCTATCAGGTTCAGCCACCTTGCTGGTCTTTACCTTTACGTGGATGGTGTATGGAGTGAGAAATCAAGGCGACATCTGGGTCCTCAGGTAAATGATCCGTTATCTTCTCCCTCAGCCTCTGATAAGTCTTTCTCAGTGTTGGTACGGGGTTGAGCTATAGTGCAGTGTTCACTATTTTGTGAGTTGTCCCTCCCTCCATCCTGCCTCCGAATTGAGCGTATTCGTTTGAGGCCAAGTCTTATATCCTCACTCTGGGGAATGCAAAACATGGCGCGTAACTTCGGCTTTATGATGTATGCCCCATTCATTGGAACCCCCGTGTTTTCATACATGTACGCCTTCATATCCGCATCCCATGCGCAACCCGGAGAAATGTGCACAGGACGATCCTGCTGGCAGTTAACCTTCTATTTTGCTATCGGAACATCGATCATTGCCTTATTCGCAAGTTTTACGCTCTGGAGTAGGTGGAGGGGAAGAATTTGAAATGCCTCGCTGTGATTAGAAGCGATGTGCACATATTCATGAGGCGCCAGACATGCTAGGGCTCCTTGATATCTTTACAATTGCTACATGCTATCACAAAGTTATGGACGCACCCATACCACCTTGTACATATAGCCATTCATACTACAATATCTTAATACTGCCTCTTTGCATACTTGTCGCTGACGCTCCAGTGCGGATCGCGGTTTTGTTTTTTGGGCCCGGAGTATCAGTTCGGACATCTGACGAATTTCCTATGACCTGATAGGAACATCACCTTGAAGCGATGACTGGCACTGCAAAGTAGCCCCATCTTTCCTTTCGTTCATCCACAATGGCCAACCTATTTTTCAGAGCTCTCCTCCATGGAAAAGCCTTAGCTACAATGACATATGGCTATCGTAGCCTTGGAGGTCTCGCAATCGACACCTTCATTCGAAACCAGTACGGCGGCCACTTCCAATACCTCACCATACAAGGGTACACTTCAATTAATTTCATTCAAGCTGAGGGCTCAAGATGTTCGATCTCCTTGTTGATGTAGCTTAGCCGTGGCGTGGTTGACCATGGTCGCGAGCTTATTCAGTGACCTCTTCCCATCTATTAGGGGTGAGCCTCCTACACGCGCCGGAAGACACATATGCTGATCGCATCCCCAGCTGCCCGCTCGATAAAACGATATCTGATGATTATGGCAATGCCCGTTCGTCCACCCTTGAACTCAGCTCCCCAGGCTAACTGCGCTAATCGTGAACCAACATTCAGCTCGCCGTGGTCATCTCATCTATCTATTGGACACTTCTGGTCTTCTTTCCGGCGCTTATTATCCAGAAGAATCTTTCAGGCCCCTCGGGGGCTGTGCCATCTTCATCCACCAATGCAACTCCCGAGTTTCGTTTGCCTCTGACTATTGACCTGGCTCTCCATGCTGCTCCGGCCTTGTCCATCATCTTGGACTTCTTCGTCTTCGAGAGGAAATATAATAAGAACGAAGTCGAGGCTGGAGCTCCAGTTGCTATATCATTGTACGCTTTGGGATACACGCTTTGGGTCGAGCATTGCGCCCAGAAGAATGACGGAATTTGTATGTGGAACTCTTACTGTTCAGCAATGTTTACTGTAACTGTGACTGACTCCTCTACTAGTCCCCTACCCGTTTCTGACGGAAAGCACCCTTCCCATTCGCATTGGAATCTACGTTGGTGCTGCTGGACTGGCCACTGTATCCTTCAAGTTATTTAACAGTCTACACTCTTAGAGGGTGCCAGAAGTTCCTCTTCCAGTTGAATTATTTCGACTCCAAGTCTCCACTGAGCAGCTCCCAGTCCCATACCTACGCATTAGCAAAAAGTATATGATGCCACAGACCTTTCGTATACCGTAAATAATCGTGCATGGACCGTTCAGTTTCCGGCTTTAGAAACCCACAAGATACAAGACTTGGGAGCTTGACAATGACTCCAAGGCCGCAGGGGTTGTACAGGTCATGTGGTCGTGTTTTCGTGAACGTTGAATTTTCACCGTGACCGTTGGTTCCTGCTTTTGCTCTATGGTCCACTCTGCCTGCCACTATCCACTCCCTTTGCATTGAAACTCATCTAGAAGCATATGTCACCAAGTCGTTTCTCCACTGTCGACGGTGTCTTCTCTGGAACATGATTCGTCGGCATCCCCTACCTACTCATCCGGAATTTTCAGTTCTTGAGTGTTCTGGATATCGAGAATACAGAGTAAAGAATCGCAAGAAAGTAGCCAAGTATGCTGGAAAGTCCCAAAGATTCGGATTCGCCCTCTGGTGCACATCTGTTTTGGCACTTTTTGCTGCAATCTGTTGGCGGACGGTGAGCTTTGTAGTACCTTCTCTTCTTTTTCTGACAGTCAAGAAGATGCCAAAAAAATGGTGCTACATAATGCTGTCTCTTTCTATTATTTTCATTCTGCGCTCCTATGTCTTCCAGGTTACCTATGGTACGTCGCTCTATATCTTCTTTCACGTGTCTTGGTACTCAACGACCGACAGAATCGGTTGTTATCTTACCACCCCATGGTCTACAGCTCGAGACCCATCGGGGATTCTCCACGGATTGGCCAATATTCAGCAAGAGGAGCTTCATTCCCTTGGGGAATCTTGATGTGGTTGTCATAAACGAGGGCTTGAGAGGGTGGAATGTCCTCTTTTACTTGGTAGCAATCAAGTGCTTCAAAGAACCAACTCTCGAAGTCGCGTTCCATGTAAGGCTACTATTCTGCTGTCAAATTTCCCATAATGATGAATTCGCGATATTCTCAGGATCTACTTCCCTCTCATCCTGTTCTACTCCAAGTTTTTGAAGGCATATACGAACTCCTGTTGTCCAATCCAGCAGTACAAAAGAAGATAGAAGACGCTAATATACCAAATTAATGTCATATATACAGTCCCTGTCCGCGAGGCGTGAAGTCATTTCCGCATGGAAAAGCCATTGGGGGCATCTTCACTTTCGTAGGCGCTGAGGAGGTCATCGTAACCCTCATCATCACCTTCATCAGCCGCACTTTCTCTTCGACTTCGAGGCACCTCTCTGCTCTCTGATGATACCTTCCGAGCGCGATGCCCACTGGAAATCTTCCGGGGCCGTTCTTCGGTGAATGTATCCGCAGAGCCTTTCCGCTGGCGGTCACCTAAAGAGATTTTTCGGGAGCGCCTGGGAGATCGGCTTAGTCCGGGGAGGGAGTTCTGCCCGTCTGAATCAAAGTTAGCCGCCTTCGGGGTCGGAACCATGTCCTGGTCGTCTCCTGGCCAAGGCACGGCTAATGTGGAAGGGCTAGGACTTCTCTGGTCTGGCAAAACGTGCGGCCGTTGGTGATCTTGAATTTGCAGATTGGCAGGCCGATAACGTTTAGACCTTACTCGCGCAGTTCGCGCAGGGGGGTTGGTAGTCACCGTCTGGCTGTTATCCTCCACGTCCTGGGCAGGGGATGCCACTGTGAATGAGGGTTTTCTGGAGGTCCGCGGAACTTCGTTAGATGTTGTGTCGGAAGCGTCAGAATCGTTTGCCAGGGGGACATGAATAGTGTTCGTAGCAGGGGGGCGTTGTGTTGGTTTCGTCTTACTGACAGCTGTCGAAGGATCAACATGGTTGTTCACGGAATCGGTCTCCTTCAGCGGCGACTTCGCAAGGGGTAGAGGAGGGGGACTGTGAATATCGGAAGATACGGACGACGCTCGTGACGGAGGACGGGAATGAAAGCGGAAGTTTGGTGCCATTGGTGAAACTGATCGTCGATTCAAGGCCACTACGCGGCTGGCGGGCGCTGAATCAGACTCCCAATCCAACCGAGCTGATTTTGGCACTCGAGCAAAGGCATCTGCTGGTGAGAGAGAAGAGATAGAGGACTGAGAATCTCTGTGGAAATTGTGACGTTTCTCCCTCATCACATGAGCCCATTCATCGGTGTCTGGAGTTGACAGAAGAGAGCCTGACGGGTGATGTCCGCTGGACTTCCTCCCGCCAGAGACGATGGATGTAGCGGAATTGAGCAGAAGCGGCCTCGGAGCTGATCGCGGGGTTGACGGAGGCGGGGAACGTGTTTTCGAAAGCAGGGCTTTCGTCTTATCTAGGATCCCTGCGCTGTCAGGAGAGGATTGTGGATGGCTATGCAGCTTGTCTGGCAGAGGGGGAGGGGGAGAAAGCAATGTTGGAGATTCCATGAATGGTACTGATCCTCGCCTGCGACCAGAATCCGGCAAACTTGGAAGAGATTTATCACCGTATTCAGGTAAAATTGCAGGGCTTGGGGCAGGCGAGGAAGCTGCGCTCCAGGAGCCCAGCAGTCCTCGTGCCCGCAGATTGGTGCTGACTTTGGATATTGTCGCAACGGCGTCAGAATCCTTGAGCTTTCCCGCATAGCCCCATACACCAGTGGATGTGTGTGCTGGCGGAGTCTGGTCATCTTTACTGGGAGGAGGAGGAAGGGTAGATAGCTCGGGTAAAGGTGAAGATAATGGCGTTGTTGACCGAGAGGTTGATGGTGTGTCATCCATAGCACTCTGGTTCGTGATCCCTCTCCAGACAGTGTTTGTCAGTTGGGCAGCAAAGCCGGAATGAAGGCCTGACGCTGGGCTCGCTGGATGACCATTGGCTGGCTTACTGGATACGTTGGAAGATTCTGCAGGCGGCTGCTGATATGCGAAACCCTTCCATACGTTTGCCTTCAACCGGGCACCTAGGGTAAGTGACGGTTGCTGCACTGCAGCTGATTCTTGCTCGCGACGATGGGCCAGTTCGGCAGCGGTTTGTAGTATGCGTTCAATGCCCCCGACGTAGCGGAGATCGTATGACTGAAGGAATGATAAGGTCTCAATAAAAGTCTCTTGAGTGTTGCCAGTTGGTGAGGTCACTTCGACTTCGCCGGTCCACAAACTCCTACTTCCTTGATTGACCCTGGCCAAGCTATCGTAGGTTTTGCGTCGTCAATTACATAGGGCTTGATAAAATGGTATTTACACACCGAGACATATGATTTTTGGCACGGACGAGCATGCTCGTACAGATGTCAAGGAGATATTCCAGCCTCGGGTTGGTGTCTCTATCCCTGCTTTGGCAAGAGAACAACGCATCCCAGACCAATACCAACGATGGTAGAGGGATGGTGTGGGCAAGGAGTGGCATCAACCACCGGCTACGAGAAAAAGGTCAGCACAGGCAGAAAAGCCCAATGACAAAAAGGCTAACTAGGAGAAGTGAGGTACCCCAGGATCTAACCCTTTCGTTTGCTGTTTGAATGCTTAGTACCTTAGCCAGGTGACAGGACGAGTAAACTCACCAGATCAGTGAACAGATCGTAATCCGCCCATGCGAGCCGTTGGCTGAATTTCTTCATCCAGACACTGCCACCATCGTCTTCCAATCCACTTAGCTCCGCTACCACTGCCTCCAACAGCCAGAAAGTGTCTGCTTCCACGTGTGCAAGTTCATCCGTTTCGATTTCTTGTATACATGTTGTGTACAGCGGGACCAAGAGAGAAGCCGTGTGTAATGACAGGTTGCCAGGATTAATGATGTTGTGAAGATACAGTAGTCGCAACAAAATAGCACAATGTTTCGTATGTGCACTCCCAAAGATACACTTTCGAGATGGGAGAAGAGTCTTCGGCAACGGTGAGCTGTCTGTCAGGCCGGAGTCAAAGGAGGTCAATGAGATGGCGGGGGTTTCGTTGACATCGGGCTCGAGACGGATCTCCGGTGTTGGAGAAGGTTGGCGTGATTCCCTATCTCTCTCTTGTAGTACAGTAAGCCGTAATTCGAGAGCCTGAGCATGAGGTATCCGGATCTCTTCAGGTGCGTCAGGGCTGAGCGGGCATGTACTGAATGTCTCCGGTTCTTCCTCTAGAAGAGAGAATATGTCTCGTGGGAGGCCAGACAGGTCCTTATAGACGTTGAGAAGCTTGTCGTCCAATGTAGGTGATGGTGCAGAAGATGAAAAAGGTTCAAGGAGTCGTTTCACAAGTTCCTGTGCATTGTTGAAATCAGGCCGTCGCTCTTTTCCCGACATATAAGTGCTCACATAATAGGCATCTCGTTGTTTCGTTATTTCCACCCTCCATTTCGCCTTGCTTTTCGGCAAAATTGCAAAAAATAGTCTAACCCTCAAGTCAGAAAAATGCGATAGAGTATCTGGAGTACGCACTTCCAAACCCTAGGCCGGAGCCACACAGGTTGATCAGGTATTCCTGTCTCCCAATGAGCTCATGTCAAGGCATTGAGCATATGTACGCACCTCGCACACAGAGTCTCCGCAAAAGAGCCAAGTCAACTTCGGGAGCTGCCTCCGGATCCAACAACTCTGACAGAGTGTTAACACTTCAAAATTGTCTTGTGAGTTGAGATCCCCGTGAAGAAAAATAGCGCGTACATATCCTGTCGTCGGGGTTCTGGAGTCCAGGCGACACGATAGGAATTGGCTATGTTGTACAGGAAGCCGTCCAACTGGAATACCGAGGGTATAGGTGTCGAAAGGGCCTTCAAAACGCGCCTTGAGACGTGTTGATCAAGGTTTCCCATCGCAGATCGCGTAAAGTCCGGTCCTAGGTTCTGTGCAAGATGAGTTCGAACCATATCAAGGTCTGGCAAAAGAGGATCACAGCATCAGCACTTCGACAGCTCTCAGAAGAAAGTTGTGGATGAGAACCTTTCGAGTGTACATGCGGTGAAACAAAAATTATGGTTGAAGCAGCTTCCACCACTACAGGACTCGGCGCAACTCTAACACAGCAATTAAGTTCTCACTGGAAGTATCCAAAGGTTCAAACGACGCACCCTGATTCCAATTCATGGAAGTGCTCTAAGAGAATGCCTAACAGCATCTCTACTTCGTCAAGAAGATCCCCAAACGCCTCATCCTGAATCAACTTCTCGGCCTTTTCGCGGGCAAGGGGGACGTTATTCCGCTGGATTAGAGTCGCGATGTCCGTCCGAGTGATATTCGCTTGTGAGTCGTTCTTCGCTTGCAGCTGGCCGAGACGCTGACTCGTAAGGCGGATTTGGGACTAAGGCTTCGTTAACCTCCTGTGTATGTTTTTTGGGCTGAGGCTGAACTGACCTTGACAGCGGATGGGTCCCAGTTCATTATAAGGCGCCGAGGGGTAATAGGAGGATTACTGAAAGAATTAAGGACCAACGAAGGCTGTGGGGAGAGCTGAAGTCGTTATCGAGCGGAACGAAATGACGTTCCGCACTGAGTTGATGGGGGTCAGTGCTCAACGTCAACTGCCTTCTGGCGGTTGAGCCATAAGTACACCGCTAATGGCCAAAATCCTTGATGGACACGTGGGAAAGGAAATCGCAGGTCCTTTCTCGATTTGGGAGGTCATTTTGGAAGATGCTCCGCGGCTTCGGGATACCGTTAGACTCGAAGCCAGCCTACAGGTGCGCAATTTTTTTTGAGGGAGGGAATTGCTGTCTTGGTAAGTAATTCCCTCATCCTCTCAAAAAATTACCTCATCAAGACGGTTGGTTTTGAGACTAGGATACCGTGAGGCCCGGGTCTTGAGGTGGCACAGAACGCAACGCTTAAATGGTTCCTGTGCCTTGAAAACAATACACTATTTACATGGTCTATATAATGCTACAGTATCGATAATTATACATGCTACAAGTATTCAAGAGTAGGGCTGGCGCGCCGTCTATGGATGACGCAGAGTAAGTACCACAGAGTGTAGTGAAATCATCACGCACTGCCCTTTCCTCGGCCGGATTCCTCCGCTGAGAGACACCTGCACCGCCCAGAGGATTCTATGTGAAGGCGGTGGACAGATCGTGTCCTGATAGATCAGATGGCATAGCCATAGCTCACTTGAGAGTGAAAGCTGTTGTGGACAGAGCTCTTTTGTTTTTCTACGTCATCGACGGCAGAAGCCTCCACAGACTTTGATAAACGATACATGAGGAAGGCGAGACCGCACGCATAGCCGACAACTATTTTTTGTTACCAAGGTCAGCAGCAGCGGAGACCAAGCAACGAGAAACACACCTAGGATTGGCACAAACCAGCTACACACGTTGATAAACAGAATTATAAGGTTGCAGATGGCGACTTCATCAGGGACTGTTGTTTAAATAAACAGTAAAATTCGATGGGTATATCGTTCAGGATCAGGATACTACGGTCAGACTTACCGGATGATGAACACTGGAATGAGGGTGTCTTGGACGCAAAACCCCCTGCAATCCCACAATGGGCGGCGAACAAGAATAGAAAGCGAGCAGCATCCAGCCACGCCCGGAATGGTTGGATGAGTCTAATAGATATTCAACGACGCGTCATAGTCAATAAAAAACTAACTGACTCACAGTATTGGAAGAACAATGACCGTTATCGTATCAATGAGAAGCATAATAACCACGAGAGGGCCTGTATCCGAGGTCAATTCCGGAATGGGGGGGAAAGAGTTCCGCACTCACGCTCAGTGCGATCTAAGAGATCCCATTTTGAGAAGATAATAAGGCACAGCAATATTATCCAAAGAAAGCATAGTGATATTATAACCGCTGCAGTCAAACCGGGGTGAGGAATGGATCAGACCACAATTGAGCGGCACGACGTACAGAAGGAAACGGTCCGTATCCGAAGGAAGCGAGATGGGGGTGGAATTGCCTGTGGTGGGCTGCGACGATCCGAAGGCACAGTACCGAGAGATGAGGACGTGGCAGGCATGACTATCGTTCGAATCGTGAAGAATACAGTGAAGGAAGACGGGAAAGTGTCTGCCAGAGACGCAAGTTGAATGGCGGTGGGCTCGGATAAAGGGAGGGGAAGGAGAAAGAGACGTTCAGATAACGTGAAGGAGCATTGACCTAGAAACAGGGATGTGCTAGACAGTCGCTTTGGTCGTGTTCATGTACCCACATGAGGCGGGTAATTATAGAACAAAAGAATGGAATTGTGGCACAGTTCGTGTTATTGTGGCCTATTTGCACACAAAATTTCCTTTCTTGGATAACAACTTTCCCATTCGGACTATTTTCGGAGCCTGTTCTTGGCTGCCTTGGCTTCTTGCTCGAACCGACTCCTCTTCTTCCCCCGCACCGTGCCCTCCCCATCATCGGTCTCCAGCTCATCGCGCTTCCTCGATCCTGTTCGACTTCTCTCGAACGCGTCAGTTTTTTTCCCTCTTTTTCTCAGGTCCTCATAACCATCACCCTGGCTACGACCTCCGCTGACTCTGCTCACGCTGCGTAGTACCTCGTCAAATTCATCCTCGAGGCCACCAGCTCTTCTTCTGCGACCAGAAGAGCCACCGAGGTCGCCACCCAATGCCAAATCCTCTTCGTCCCTTGCTCGTCGTTTGGCATCGCTTTTCTTCATCACGAGCCGCGTAAAATTGTCCTCCTCGAAGTCCTTTATCCGCTGAAGATATTTCGCTCGGCCAGAAGCCAGGGCAGGTGCCCCACCCAGGCCTGAAGTTGATTCGACAAAAGGACGAGAGGGATCTGCAGCAAGTGTTGCAAGTGCAGAGGGGATCGGTGCGAGATTTCGTCTCTGTTGGTTCTTTGATTTCTCCACGTAAGGCATCGGTGCCAGTCGGGGAGGTCGGTAAATCATGTCGTCCTGTGTGCCAATCTCCGCGTCTTTAGATGCCCACGATTCTTGTGGCTCGGTGGATTCCGTTTGCATGAGGGACATAGGGTTAGGCTTGAAAGAGAGAGGATCTAATATGCTGTCAATAAAGAATTCAATCTATCTGAGGAGAGAATCTTACCGTCTGCACTTTGTGTAGGCTCGTCGGCGGCTCGCACCAATTTTTCGATCTGGTATCGCATTTTGCTTTCCAGAGCACCGACTTTCTCGAGCACGATGCGATTCTCGATCATCGAATCCACCATATCCCCGGCACGGCTCCCACGGCTGTCTCTATCTTTTGTGCTGAACGGTTGCGAAGGTGAAGAGCGTTCGCTCAGGGAATCTCCAAGGACACGACGCGAAGAGACCAACACAAGCGACCGCAGGTAGGAAAGGAGGACGTGATGCTTCAGTGAAAGAAGAGATATGCCATCTTTCATGTCTAGATGTTGCTGACTGCTTACCACTAATCAGCGGCTGCCAGGCAAACAGGAGGCTTGACGACTGACTTTTGCTTAATGGATTGGAGAGATGCGCGGGCGGCCAAGAGGCTGTTCGTCATGGTCTCTAGAACTTCATGAAATTCATCATACTGGTCCATGACTATATGAAAAGCATGAATACGATCGTCAAAACAAGAACGGGAGAAAAAAAGAAAGTTCGGTTAACGGGTTTCTAAGCCGCCGCTCATTGAGCGTAGTGCATGACATCAAATGTTGTCAGAGCCCAGTGCGTTTCCTCATGCATGTGCAGAACCATAACTCCTACTTACCTCTGCTCAGAAGGAGTTGGGTGTAACTTGTTGGAATATTTTTTCATGTCCGTTGATGGGCCCGGGGCTTTCAGTCCGAGTCACGTGTATCTATTGCACACACGGTGCAAGTTCAAGTTCAAGTTCGATGCCAATCGATGGACCCCCACGTCGCACGAGGCGATAAACTACATAGGCCCATCTCCAACGACTTCTCCTTAGGTCGCTCCTCTGAGTTTTTCAGTCGTCGCTTTCTTCCTCGCGCGCATCTTTCCTCCTTTATAATATATATTCGATCAGTGTTGTTGTTCTATCTAATCCACCTCAGGCCTTAACTTGGAGCCTACACTTCGCCATGGCGTCTAATTATGCGAAGGAAAAGGCGAAACGCATGGCGGAGAATTTTCTCGCCAAGCTGGTTGATTCATTCGACTCTCAGGTATGATTCTGCCCTCGCTCCAGAAGCGCTTCCTTACTCCCTTCAAGAAAGAAGACAAACCTCCCAAGCCTCCCCCTAAGCCTGCTGAGGCGGGCGTTTCTGGCTCATCTGACCATGCAGCCTCAGCACAACAGGATATATCCTCTGTATTCGACAATCTGTCAATTTCCAACCAGCCAAACCCTCCACCTCCAAATCCCCATTTCGTTGGTGGCTTCAATCCTAGCTACTCTGTGGTCCCTACTCCATATGCCCCGGCTGCCCCAAGTCCAACTGGTACCCATCCTTCCTCTTCAGCTCCCAATCTAGTGAGGCCCGTGGCAATGCCAACTCCTTTTGTCGAATTTCCTGGGCAGCAATCGTTGACGATGCAAATGGCACTTCTCCCGCCTGGCGCCCCAACTCCCGCTACTCGTCCGCATTCGAATCCTGTAATTTCCTCATCTAAGCCACCACTATCTCCATCTTCGAAGCCTCCCAAGCCCTCTCCAGCGAAGCCTGCGTCACCCCCCTCCACACCAGCGAAGGCAAGCAAAGTAGAATCAATTAGCGCCGCCTCTACCCCTGGTAAGCCTGGTCAAGAACAGTGCGCGGGTGTTACAAAGGCAGGGAAGCGGTGCACGCGAATGGTCAAGCTTCGACCTGCTTTCGCATCTCTGGATTCTGATGACTCTGGCACCATGCCTCGTTTTTGCCATCAGCACTCCAAAGAGCTGCTCGGACCGTCCGGTTTCTACGCGCGTAAGAACGGAGAATGGGTAGAATTCGACGGTATGTGCAACCGCATTGTTAATTCCGACGACTGAGATGTATATTATCCGTAGCCTGGATCCCCTCATACTTACAGCCGGAAACACGAGTCTCGCTGCGGGTCGAGATGGAGAGATCCAGGTCTTCCTCGGATGTGCATGGGTACATTTACACCTTTGAGATTCGAGGTAAATAAAAAATTCTTTGCTCATTATCGTTGCAAGTAACTATTCTCCCTTGAAGAAACAACAGAGACGGAGACAATTAAACTGAAGGTTGGTCGGGCCGTCAACCTCGTAAAACGGATCGACCAGTGGGGGAAACAGTGTGGTTCGAAAGAACAAGTCTTACGTGGGTTCTACCCTGGGTCCGTCGAACCAGATGAAGATGGAGGTGAAGGCAGCCTAATGAAAGGTAGAGTCAAGGCAGGAGAAAAGGCAGCATGGTGTCATCGACTAGGTGCGCTCTGCATCGGCTTTAATAATCCGTCTGACGCAATATCAGAGCGCCTCATTCATATCGAACTCGCCGATTTGGTGTCTACGTACATCTATCTTGACCCTGCTTGGCCCAATGTCGATGAGGCAGCGTCTACTTCAGCCGGAGAGAAGACAAGCAATTCCAAAGATTCCAACATCCCCAGGACCTGCCCAGATTGTGGCAGTATACACAAAGAGATATTTGAATTCCAACGCTGGAAACGGGGGAAGAACAAAGGTAAAGAGTGGGGGAATCTGGTCAAACCTGTCGTGGAGCGCTGGGGCAAGTTTGTCGAACTTTACGTATGATTCTCCGACAGGCTGTGTATTTTTATCTCGCAGGACTTTCCGTCGAAGTACCGCATTGTTGTTTGCATTTGCCAGTTGCTATCGATACGTGCTGTCTGTCGATTATCTACACCGCCCGAGAAACATCTAATTCACACAACGCATAGGTCAAAAATTTGTGGTAAAAATGTCTCCAAACCCTGAGTGAACGTGTTGAATAGAGTGGCATGGTTATCGAGGTGGAGGCATCTGAAAGCAACTCAACGAAATTACCGGTAGATTTGAGACATAAAGAATAACTTGCAAACACTCAATATTCTTTCTGCCTCGAGGCAACCACGTTACGTAGAGAAAAGCGTTTTTGACCTGGAGACAAAGGGGAAAACACGTAGAAAACATTTAATGTCCTTCTCGAAAGATTCATTAAGATTTGAAATCGGCCTCACTAGTAAGCAGTAGGGGTGTTTGCTTCCCACCAGTAAACCTGTTTTCGTGACGAACTTTAGAGTAGAAAAACGATGCGAAATACTTAACGGGTTCAACAGCGTTCATTGCAATTTTTGTGCCTCCAAACATTCTCTATGCCCCCCGTTATTATTAACGTCGTATACTATTGGGGACAAGGAATACCCAATCCGCGAAGTAAGCGGGGAAAAGGGACAGAAAGAGAACGAGCTCCTGTTGTTCTTGAGTAGTCACGTGACTGTTGCACAACAATGCAGTTCTGAGTTCACAACTTCACTCGTCCTTTAAACTTTTCCCCCATTGTTCGAACTTCGCACAGCAAAATGGCATTCTCTTGGTCCTATAAAGGGTTCAACGGGCGAAATGCAAGTTTTTGCCCTCGTTCCATTTCAACGTTGAACGCTCTTTCTTTCGCTTCTCACCTCCACCGTCTTGCATCGAGCGTATCAACGCCCAACGTCGAGTTCATCGTCCCTTGTACCTAATTGAAGAAATGCGCCGTTTCGCTACCATCTCTACCCTCCTGCTTGGAATTGTGCCACTGTCTCTCAGCGCGACAATCGATGTCGTAGTTGGAGGACCTGGCGTTCTCGAGTTTACCCCTCCATTTGTCGTGCGTGTGGAACTTCTTACGAGACGAATGAAGCCTGATTTCAGAACGCCAGACTGCCTCCTTAGGAGATATCGTACGATTTACGTTCCAGCAAAAGAACCATACAGCTACGCAATCGACCTTCGAGAGCCCTTGCTTGCGTGCCCCTGGTGGATTTGATTCCGGATTGTACGTGAAACTTTATTTGGTGAACGAGTGGATGAAACTAATTCAAGCCGTAGCGTGCCTGTTGCAGACGGCGTAACAAGTGGCTTTCCCGTCGCTGAGCTGGAGATCAGCACCACAAATCCCATCTGGGTGTATTGTCGACAAGGCGATCACTGTCAACAGGGCATGGTGTTCGCCGTTAATCCTGGAGACAGGTTTACCGCCTTTCAAGCTGCAGCCACTGGTGGCTCAGCACCGTCTACATCAACTGCCCCTGCGTCAACAACTTCTCCAGTCCTTGCCACACCCTCTTTCACCACCTCCATTACACCATCCGCTACCGCGACCGCCGGTCTGGATCACAAAGTGATTGTCGGAGGGCCAGGAATTCTGGCTTACAATCCCTCGAACATCACGGCTCAAGTTGGGGACACGATAACCTTTGAGTTCCACCAGAAGAACCATACTGTTACTGCAAGCTCCTTCGACGCTCCTTGCCGTGCATTGGCTTTGACGAGTACCACTGGCGAAGTGGGTTTCGATTCTGGGTTGTAAGCAAGTCTCAATACTTCTCTAAGCCTTCTACTGACCACATCCATCAGTCAACCTGTTGCGGACGATGCTTTGACCTTCCCGACTTTTACGATCCAAGTCAACGACGTTCGTCTCGCCACCTGCCCTTCCAATTCTACTCGAGTACTGATATTTTTTGTGCAGACCAAGCCCATCTGGGCTTACTGCCGACAAGGAAATCATTGCGGCCAGGGAATGGTCTTCTCCGTCAATGCTGACGAGTCGGGTACGAGGGGCTTTGCTGCCTTCCAAGCGTTGGCGAAGCAGCTCAGTGGCACAACTTCTACCACCACAAACAGTGCGCGTGTTTCTGCTGCTGGTGCCCATTCTGCAAGTTTACTTGTGGCTATCGCTTTCGTTTCAATCTTCGTGCTCTAAAATCAAACCTGGAGATTGTTTACAGCTCTTACGATCTATATTGTTCACGACTCGTGATTCATTTTGTAGCATATACGAGACAGTACGTCGCTGTAGCATTAATACCTGTGTTGTTACAATAGTTATATATAGGCTATACACTTTTATTGTGCTGGTTGTACTTATGATTCGTTCCGCAATACAGTCGAACTCCTCATAACCCATACCCCCTCCGTGGACGGCCCGAGCCATGGCTTATTGGGGCTTATGGGTTGTGAGGGGAGTGCTAAAAGTATCCCGGAAAAGTGGACAAAAAATGGGGTTAAAATAGTGCACATAAACCTCACCGAAAGTGATTCAGAGGAGTGCGGATGTCTGACTAGTAACAAAGTCGGCCTTGACTTAGGCGAAATCACACTCTCGAGATCAGTGATCGCCGTAGTTTCCAATTCACGAATGCACTCATGAATGCACTCCTTCAATGAGCGTACAAGCGCCATTTTGCGGCGAGTAGACACAATTTAGAGTGTATGACGGCAGATTTTCGCTATGGGTTGCCGAATATGGAGCGCTTATGCCTGATTTGTAAGCCAGCTTTCGCTCTCGCAGTTCTTTGGGACTACTTTTATCAGTTTTTAGCTGCTTTTCGGTGAGATCCAGGGCCTTCCCATTAATCAGGGAGAGTTGCCACGAAATGGTGCCCCCTAAATGCCAGTACTGGAAAATTTGGTGATTTCAAGGGTGTTCCGGAAGCAATTCTGTGCACTGTTTTGGCCAGGGTTTTCGTCCGAAACATCACCAAAATTCCTCGGCATCTGTCACACTTCGTCATCATTTCTGTAGTACTATTTTGGACCTGATGTTCGTCAGGACCCAATGTTCGTCACCCCCCCAGAATCTCGCCACCGAAACCTCCGATCTTCACCAGCTTTTGCAGCATGCAACAACACACCAAGACACGTATCGCAGACACATTTCCGGGTGGAAAAAGGTGCTATGAAGAAGGATGAAATTTGGGCTCTCTGTCACGCGTGAGGGTGCTGCCGACTTCTCGGCAACGATGGGATCATGAGTACGTAAGCGACGAACATGTTTTCGCTCCCTCACGCTGAGGTTCGTCAGTCTTCGGACTTCGAAGCAGTGATTAGCGAGGAGTGACACTGATGTGACCTGACGAACACTGGGTCCTGACGAACATCAGGTCCGAAATAGTACACTTCGGCAGACGTAGTTCTTGGCATGCAAAGCATCCTCAATTCGGCTATGTACATCACGTGACACCCATTCGGTCATTTCGGTCGTCGTTTGGTCCTGCTCCACAAAAGGAAACCCCTTGGGATGGCGAAGCTGCCATTACATAGTTCGACCGTAACTCGGTCAGCCACGTGTGATCTTCTCTGTGACGGGGTGTGATGACACAAGTCCCGGCACACGGTAGACAGATGTAAACGCTGTATTCGAAGTCGGGGAAAACTCTACTCTATAGGCGATGAGTCCTTTATATACGATATAAAGACATAACATTAAGCAACCGCCGTAGGCGGGGGAAGGCTCGCTGCGCCATCTCATTTGGGCCACCTTAGGGTCCTTCAGAGTAAAATAAGTACCCTTTATAAATTGAAGAGTAATAACTACGTCGACGTTGAGCTGGGGTCGTGGCTTCAGATGTGATTTAATGACTGTCATCATTTTGCCATCGGTGACATGAAATTCAGGCACGAGTACATTCAACGCTGGATAAAATTATCTGATATCTCTTAACTATCGTTATACTCCTCGAACTACCACTTTCCACAGCCTCGGAAGGGGCCCGACCTTGGTAAATGGCCCTGTGGTGCAGAATTGGCTGTATGTCCAAACGGCGAAAATTTGAGCCGATTCTTGTAGTTTTTTTGCTCAGATCCATTCATTACATGATATGTGTGTTATCTATATGCACAATTATGGCGGTACAGGTAGAGGGAAGAGCACAGCAACGTCGACAAGCACACCAGGGCAGCCCAGTCGTGCTTGCGGAAAATTTGTACTTGCTTGTCCGGGCCCCCCAGCCCTTAGAGCCGATAGATGCTCGCTTCGCAATAAACGAGCCAAGGTAGACGATAAGGGAGCGCCGCGTATCATTCTCGATCTTATCAGTTGTTGCAACTACCACTTCCTTCGAGCCCTCTTCTCCCTTCTTTCCTTGGTACACCATGGAGTCTATCTCACCCCCCAATGCTCAGCCCGGGGTTCAACCAAATGATGAGGATGCTAAGCGGGCACAAGAGGAACAAATGAAGCGAGATCTCCTCGCCACTGTCCTTGATACAGGAGCCAGGGAACGCTGTACGTTCGAGAATAACCTGATCTCCTGCCCAGAGGCTTTCTGGAAAGCTCGGACTTTCAAATGGTTCAACTAAACGGGATTCTTTCTAGTATCACGGATTGCCCTCGTCAGCCCAGAGAGATCGAAGCAGATTGAGATGATTCTGCTTCGAATGGCACAGTCAGGACAACTTCGAGGGCGCGTAAGCGAGGAACAGCTTATCGACTTGCTCGACCAAGTAAGTTTTCGAGCCATTTCTTTCGTTCTTGACTATCAACATGTGATCATTCGACGAGATGGAGGCAGCGCAAGGGAAGGTGAACTCAAAAAAGCCTACTATCGTGGTAAACATTTTCCATACTATTTGACTCGTAACAAGATCTGATTATCCATTAGTACCACCGGCGGAAAGGCCTTGATGACGACTTCGACATATAACCACACAATTTCCACCAGCTTACTATAATGACATCCATATAGTTCAATAAATACAGAAAGTACATATGGATCAATGTCGGTTTTGGAACCTGGGAGGATTCGGACGGGTCGCCTGAGTGAAAGGATAGGTTGACACTGGAAGTGCTTCTGGAGGATCAGTGGATTCACTAGGCAGTGTAGGAGGTTTGAAGCCCTTGGAAGCGTCGTCAGTATAACTAGTCACGGGACACCATCCCATACGCACATATTGTCGCCCTTCTTTGTATATTTCTTCTAACTTTTGGTCAAATATGCCCTCGGTTTCGAATTCGTTATACGCATCGTAAAGTCGAAGCGCCGAGCGAGCGTCCTCTATTGAATCATGGGTGTCTGTCTGGATATGTTCCCCCAAGATGTACCAAGAGAGGAATCTAAGCGACAAGCGACGCTGACGAGCTTTTACGAAATATAGGTCGACCGTATCGATGACTTGGTCGGGTGGAACAAATATATCTAAGACATAGTTAGTCAACAGCTGGGTACAACCTCAGAAGCCTACTGATGATGCGAAAGTCTTTGGATAAGCCATGCCCGATGAAGATACAGCCACTGTCAACCAGGCAGCGTAGCTTCTTGTATACCAGCTTCAGAGGGGTCAAGGTATACAGAGATAGAGAGGGATCCAAGTCGCCAACTACAAGACGAGGAGTTAAAGAGAAGAGCACCGTCAGACGCAGAGGTGCTTACATTTAATTCCAGAGAACTCTGTTAGATAATCAACAATAATCTCGCTGGTGTGGATGTGGTCGTCGATGAAAGGCACCCCTGCGCGAGGGCCTGCGCCACGCAAAACGGATACACGCGCCAGGCTGAGCCTCGCTGGTCTTAAGACCTTTTTTGTCCCGTCCGAACGGAATTCCGTCTCTTCCTGCGACGAAATGAGTAAGCCAACGCAGACAGATGCGCCTCGTCACACCTGCTGCATGGAAACAAACTCTGCATCGATAGCAACGAGGGATCCAGGTTTCGGTAATTCATCAAGGTTCAGTAGTCTATGCTTGATGAGGGCAGTGTCACGATTTCTAGAACATAATGAGAGACGGGTTTTTTAAAAAAAAATTAATAGAAGATCGGTGCGCACGATGAGATGGAAGTGTCTCTACTGAGAATTGATTGATCTAGATCAGATAGCAGACCACTAAAATCCAGCATGCCATGCATGTCAGGTCGCTCTAGGTAGATGACAGCCGGAACCTAGCGCCACGAAAAGGTAAAAGGGATGAAAAACAGATGTATCAAACTGGTAGGCACGGACCTTCCACCTATCCGGAAAACCCAAAGCCTCTGCTTGGGATATATTGGTAACAACGAAGTCATTGAATAGAAACCAAGAGCTGGATCCATCGTCGCGGTCTGCCCCTGGAACTACATAAAGATGAGGAAGCATGAAAAATGACCCTAATAACGGAAGTACCTTTGATTATGGCGACCAGATGAGATTTTCGATCCTTTCCGGTAATCTTGATTACGAGGGCCTAATCGATTCAGCCAGCTTTTTTAAAACGAGAAGGCAAGGAAAGACTACCCTGACATCATAGGCAATTTCCTCTGGATCATCAGCACCATCTAATTCACCACGAAGAGAAATTCGAGGCTGGAGAAACGTAGACGTTCGCCAGTCTTGCCAGAAGCTGAAGCTCTCGTCGCTGTAGACGGAGGCATTCACAGCCAAAATGGGAGGTAATTGTTGGGACGAAATCGCCCGACGAGATATGAGAGTGGAGAAATGTTTGCATATTTGACAATTCGCTCTGTGGGTGATTTCCCGGAAGAGCGAGCTTCTCAATATGCTCGCGAAGTCAAGTGAAGTGGCTTCTGCTCCTGTAGGCTGGTTTCTGTTAGTTGATTTAGGAAGAGGAATCAAATCAAGGACACACTTTTGAGGGATAAATCATGTCAACAACATGTGATAGGGTTGTTTTCTCTCTCACCCTTCTGCAGTTTGTACATGTTACGACACTTTTCCCGGTGATCCCTAGCAGTTGTGTTATGGGAGGAGGGGGTGGAACATTCGGCGGCAAGTGCAAGCTTTTCAGTATCAGAGGACTGTCTGACGGCCAGCTCCGTTCCGTAGTTAAATGATCGATGAGGAAACGATGAAATGTCTGCATCTTCTGAGCATAATCCGTTTCTGCACTCTCTCGACCGTAGTCGATGATTTCAATGGCGTGAATCCCTATTCTCGTTTAACTTGGAGGCAGATTGCTGTGTTCAGAAAAGGCCATACCTTGTGCCAAGACACCAACAGTTTTGCAAAAATTACTTGCCTGACAATTGGTTCCGCGTGCATCTTCAAGCATCCTCGAAATAAAGCCCAATTCGCAAAAAAGGCAATGCTCCAAAGTGCAATCGATCGTGATGTGAGACTTGGCTAGGTGGCGGATGGGTAGAACGTAGTGCATGACCTGGACCATAGAGTTCGTGTACGAGTTGAGAATGTGGGTCTCCAGCCCGCTGTACTCTGTCTTGTTATAAAACCTAGGCTGTTGTGGGTAAAGGAGAAAGGACGGTGAGATAGAAGTCATTTACCCGAAGTCGAAATCTTCCACCCCGAACTTCGAGTATTCAATTTCGACGCGACGGTACATCCGGGGAGCCTCTCCGGAATGATCAAGAGTCGCACTATCAGGTTCAGGCTATCTTGGAGTTATTTTAATCGAGGGTTCAAATTCCAAGCAGCGCACCTCGCCTGCTTTCTCGCTCCTGAAACGAGCGACGCCCTTCCGTGGTGTGGGAGCCACTATGTTACGGCGACCCCTGAGTTCTTTTGGTAAAGTGGCATATGCGATATCGTCATTGAATTTCATCGAGGCCAATACTTGTGGAGGGATGCGTGCTGGTGGTGGGTAATGGATGGTTCTCGAACTAAGCTTTGTTGGCCAGGCAGACAACAACTGTGTGTCGAAATAGGGCATACCCACTATATTCAATGGACTATAAAAAGGATATCAGTGACTCTCAGAAAACATTTATTTAAGGCGTACGTTGCCTCAGTCCACCCTATATCGGGCAATGGAGCAGGCGTATCAGCCCATGGAATTGGCTGCCCATCAAACCCATTGAATGGCGCGTCGGTTTCCGCTTGCGACAAGAGATGAATGGTCCCTTCCGCATCACCAAATGCCATGTAGGTCGCGTTTGGTGAGATTGAGGTCGACGTAATACACGAAGTTACGTCCAGCTGATGGTCGCGTTAGCCGAAGTATATAGAATAGTCGAGTCCATTACCTGATAGAATTCGTTGGAGGCAGAAGGATTGGAGATATCAACAATATTGATAAGCCCCTGATTAGAAGCAATCATCAAACTAGAAGTCCGGTTTGGTAAACTGTGTATGAAGCTAGGGACGGCGGGGAACGGTACTGGTGGAAGTGACCTCATCGACCGCAAATCGTACACTTTCACGAGTGGATCAGGAAATGGACGCGATTGTCTATAAATCAAACATTACGATGAATGTCAAATGGGAATGAATATGCTCACCTTTCCCCCATCCCGATGGTAAATACGAAGTTCCCGGTGCTCTGAAGACCTTGTACCGACCTGGCATGAGCCTTAACGATATTTTCAGCCCTTCCTCCTCTTCCCATGCCTGTCCGAGGGTCGTGGACTCGCAGGTAGCCATCCGAGGATCCAGAGAGTAGAATTGAATGAGATAATTCTAGTTGTGTGAGGACGGACGCAGTTTGTACTTGACGAACGATAGTACCAGTCATTGGACTTAGAAATATCATTCCCAACGATAGAAGTGAGGCTGCCATGACGGTAGATGCCGGTGGAGTATTGGAAAATGTCACAATGTCGGAAGAATGCCTGAGCAATTTGAGTATAGAGGTGGAGAGGCGAGAAATACACATACCGAAAGAACCACTTATTTACACCGCCTTTTGTCCACGAGCCCAACCCTTCGTTAGAATTCCCGACTGCATGAACATAATTATCTCCAGCCAGAATCTTCTTTGTCGGCAAATTGCCGCCCACTGGAAAAGATGGCCCTCGTACGCCTCTGGTGCCAATGTAAGCCGTGACAGTCCCAGAGTCCGAACCGGCCCACAAGATATCCGAAACTGGGTCAAAGGATAACGCGCTGATATTTTGAGCAAAGCCGCCAGATGTGGTCAAGATGGGAGAAATGGGGTGATAAGACGTAGACATATCGCAAATACGGTCGGCAGCTCAGCGCAAGCAGGTCACTTGGTCAAACAGAAGATCGGTGTCATTCTCTGTGGGTCTAAGTAGGGCCTGCAGACCTCGCGTTCTAGAGCATTTAATACTATTCAGAGAAAAAGATAGGATAACAATAAGAGTGCATACCGGAGGTTCCCCCCTTTCGTGAAGGCGAGGTAAATTTCCTGACTTGTGAAAAGGAACAGGTAGTGCAGTGGCAAGCGAGGCGCTGGCAGCATGTGCCAAGGATTTCGAGTCGTGATTACGTCAGCAACTACTTAGAATGAACACGGAACACGTCAAGCTTTCAAGTTCCTCGTTGTCAAGAGCTCGATAGAGAGATTTGAAGTGTACATACTGTATCATTTTTAAATCAACTAGAGTTTTGCCCGTGCTTCGCACGGGGGTGGGGGATAGAAGCATAGAACTGATAGGTACTGACACTGACTGAAATACTTGTAGTTTATTTGTTTCCTGCAGTGCCGCTTGCCTTCGCCCTCTGTCGTGCCGAGTGACTTCCAGCAGGTCATGAATTCAGCACCAACTTGACACACTGCATGATTGTTTTCTTCAAATTTACTTACTCGAATTCTACTCAAGGCCGTGCTCCTCTCCCTTCCATCCCCGGGCAATTTCTCGATTGAATCAACTTTGGACGGGCTTATTGATTGCTCGATAGGGGATGAAAATACTGAGAGCCCCTGCTGTCGGTGAGCCAACAATTTTTGGCATAGTGGCTGAATATGGAATGGCCAAAGGATGATAAAATGTAAGCGCTCGATCACTTGCTTGTCTGGTCACCGGTCAGGCCCAAACACGACAGAGGAAAATGTTGTGCCTGTCAACTTTCAAAGTTGACCCCCGGACAAAAACCTTGGTTTTAGTAGGTAGATTCGGCCGTCACACATCACGCTCAATTTTTTCTGACAGATTTTATAACGGCCCACCATGGACAAAAATAGGGCTTACCATGTAAATACCACCCCCTGCAATGAATATGTCACCCGAAAGTCCCAGATCTATGGAGCGCCGTACTGGACAAAAATCCGTGCATTGATTTTTTTACCTGAAATTCTGTATGAATCACAAGGATTCTGTAAGATTCTGTAAGAATTCAGACAAATTCTCATACAAGTGAAATGAATTGTCTCCATGAAGGCAGATTCAGCAAGATTCAGCCTGTTTCTGGCAGAATCCAGCAGAATCTTTCAGAACGAATCTTTTTGTTTCTCGTCGTGCAGCCACATTTCTGGCAATTCTGAGTGAAAAAAAAGTAAAATACACTGTTTCTCAAAATCGGAATCCGACTGTATGCGAGAGGATTGTGTCAGAATCTGTCAGAATCGTGGTGAATGCTTTGCTTTGATTTCCAGTATTATGCCTGCACTTTCTTTCTCCAACTAGGAATCCAACTGATTCTGCCAGAAGGGCATAGCTATATTGTTTATGCGAGCCTATGTACATTACAAGTAAGCTTATGATACCCTCTAGTGGGTAACCACACAAGTGCCATTTCAGTACCAGCAAGGACACGATGGAAAGAGCATGGAGGGCCCATACGGCAAGGTGCCTCGCTTACTCTCCTTGTCATGTTTGATTGAAACCCTCAGCCCATCTCTCATTCACCACCTCAGGTCTGTCCGAGAGCCACTACGACATGAGGAGCAGGTGTATCTGCCTGTTGTCCCGCTCTCTCTTCAAACCATAATCCTGTCTTGTAATGACCTGAACAGAGGGGGGGACTTGGCCTCAGCATGCTCTTGTGCTGTACCCCTACACATCATCTGGTTGTCCCCAATTTACAGGAACTGCCTTGGTCTTGACAGAGGAGAGACAAGAAGAAGTCATCCTGGCCAAGGCACAGGAGACAGAGGATGAACAACAGAGCAGAGGGGATGTCAAGGTTGAGATTCAAGCTGGGGAATCCAGTACACTACCTAGCTATTTATACTATTGAGAACAATGGAGAAGATCTAGGTTATGTAATGAATGCCAGCAGAACAATGACAGAGAACAATGAGGACAATAATGAATGAAACAATGAAAGTAATACCCATTGAGGAACCAGAACAATGAACAATGGAACAATGGGACAATGGGTTCAGGACTGGGATGTGACATGTCTCTCCAACCGTGGCTCCTCCGAGCGGACATCTCCGACTAGTGAGTTGTTGATCTGGCTGCCGCTCTCTTTGCCTTCAGGGCATTGAGGGGCTGCTGTGGGGCAGTTAGGGGTAGAGCAGGAGTTGGAGATGGCGGCCGTGAGGAAGGAGGAGAGGATTCAGGGCTTGTAAGCGGTGAATTACTGAAGATGGCATGGTAGTGTTCATCGGGGCTGCAATCTGTGGGGAGATAATTGTAACGAAGTGACCTTTTTTTTGACTTCTTTCCTTCTTTTCGCACACAGTTCCTAGTGTGGAGTCCTCACCTCAGATTACGTAGGCTCGGACTATCTTATCCTCCCTATCTTATCTTCTCTCCCTGTGATTCACTTAGTTACTTTCCCAGGCCTTGTTATCTACTGGTATATAAGTTCACGTCCGTAGTTTCGTAGGCCCAGTGAATTCACCTCTGTTAAAACCGTCTTGAGTTCCTCTGTGTGCCAGCTCCACCCTCTAGTCACCTTTGCCACTCGAGTCCCAGCCGTCACATCTTTTTGATGAAACAACAAACTCTCTAACAACTTCTCTTACCTCTCTCATCTTTCTTATCTCCCCGCTGCTCATCGCTTGGACACCTTTGGTTTGATCATCCAGAACAACCAGCTACCCACAGCAACATACCCCACCTCTCAAAACTCCAGAAAACCCAGAAAAAGATACATTATCCTTTACCTTGAGAAACTAACCATGTCAACTAGGAAATACAACCTACGTAACAAAGCCCGTCATCAGGGTGAAGCCAAGTCGGAATCAGAGGACGCTCCTCGTTCCGCACCCCCTACTGAGTCACGGGAGGCCAGGTTCATCTCAGATGGACCTCAGCACACTTCCCAGTCGGATTCCGAGGCAAGCCCTCATTGCCTATATAGCAATGTTGCTGCCTCGAGACCTCCCTCACCAGCTGCTGTAGCAGCAGAGGAGACCACCCTGCCACAAGCCCGTCATGTTCCCCAGGAACCGGGTGCAGGAGACCCAGTAGATTCTGTGAATAGAAAAGCTACAGTTCAGACTACAAGTGATGAGTCTTCAAGCTTGGAGGAGCCACACGATGTCGACGACGATGATACCCGCCCTTGGACCAAAGTCCTGAGCACACAAGAATTGCGTGCTCATAAGAAATCAGCTTTGAAACACAATGAGAAGCGTGATAAGAAAGCCAAGAGGGCTTCCAAGAAGCTATATGAGCATATGGTACAAGACCCCGTGGTGGAGAAAGCCACCAAGGGTCTAACAGCTGACCAGCGCAAGCACATAGCATGCCACTTTGAGAAGGTCAAGACACAGAAGTCCACGCAGGACCAATCTATCATATCCTCCCAAGGAGAGGGCCCCTCCCATGAGAAAGGCAAAGGTGTCGATCCCCAAGAATGGGGAAATGCTGGTCTCAACCAGCAGGAATGCGATCCTGCAGTACAGCAGGCCATTTGGGAGTCTATCCCTCATCGCACTGTGAGCATTGAACCTCCTGTTGACTTGTCAAAGGAGCCAGCTGGTGCGAAGGCCAAGAGCAAGGCCAAGAAGGTCAAGGCCAACTCTTGGGCCAAGTCTCAGTTACCCAATGAGGTACACCCTGTGTCACAGATTCCAGCAAAGAGCTACCTTGGTGTTGCACTGGGACAGATTGGGAAGTCCACCACACCTCGACGCTCGGGTGGTGATTCATCGCCCCCATCGTCTTTGTTTTCATCATCGACAGACAGCGATTCAGAGTCATCAAGCACTGCATCAATGAGTGACCTGGATTCTGAGTTGGAATCATCGAGTGGTGGTAGTGAATCAAGTTCGTCCTCGGGTCACAGTACATTGAGATCCTGCTGTAATAAGTGCTCAAAGCGGTCTCGTAGATGCAGCCGAGGAAAGAAACGGTCGTGTCGGAGTAGATCGAGGACTATCCATAAGGCTAAGTCATCAAATAAGGTTTTCAAGCCTAAGGAATATGATGGCTCGCCCGATGCCCATGCATATGTGTGCTTTGTTCAGGAGGGCGAGGCTTATGTCAAGGATGGTAAAATCCACAAGAAGTGACATGCCTTTGCCCTTTCCTACTTTATGAGTGGACCTGCCTACAAGTTCTATATCCAGAAAGTATCCATTAATTAATGAGGAAGAATGGACCTTGAATGATTTCTTTGAACAGTTGTTTGATTATTGTTTCCCTTTGACCTTCCGCATGGAAATGCGACGTAAGTTGCAGTGCTGTTACCAGAACGACCACACTGTGACTGTGTATGTACATGAGCTGGAGGAACTCTTCAACATGATAGGCACGATTGACCATCGTGAGCAAGTTATCAAACTTTGGAATGGCCTCTGAGAGTCCATTCAGTCTGGACTTTGGCGTGATCAATTGAATCCTGAAATTTCACAATGGGACGAAGTTCGGTCTTGGGCTGAGATTATTGAAATCTCGGAAACTGTTCCCAAGCGCAAATCAGCAGCTTGCACAGGTGGCAACCCGCCAACCTCGAGCTCTCACTTTTCTTCAAAGAAAAACAAGAGCCATGATACTCCGAGCTGATTGGCTGCATACAATGGCAGTGGTGGTGGTTCTGGTGCTGGGAATAGTCAGCCTGGGTGCCAGCAATCCAGCTCTGCTTTCCTGGGCACTAATCACTCCAAACGCGATCAGCACAATGCCTCTCAGGGTTGAGGGGTGCCTCATCGCGGGGGAGCTCAATTCACCCTGTCTCGAGGGGCGACTAAGCCTGAAGCTCGGAGAACACCTCAGCTTTCTGAGCAAGAGATGGCCAAGAGGCGTGCATCTGGCCAATGCTTCAATTGTAATCAGCCAGGGCATCTATCCTGTAACTGCCCAAACAAGAGCACAGTTGCAGCGTCAGGAAGTCATCCTCCGGGGACTTCGAGTTTTAATATCAACATTGTTGAGGAAAGTTCTCATGATGATGACGAAGTCGAGGTTCTCGAGAGCCTTCCACTCAGGTCAATAACTATTGAGGATGATATACTGAGTGACGATGACCCCTCCGAGCTGAGTGATGACTTGTCGAGCGAGGATGAAGAGTCTGATCCATGGTCTGTGCCTATTCCAGATTGGATGCAGCCACATTACTCTATTCCTTGTAAACATCTTGGTGATGCATTCGCCATGGTAGCTGAGTATAATCTTGCCAAGGCGCAGCCATACACGGGAGACGAGCAATTCAAGAAAACTGTTCACGACTCTGGGTTCGATGTGTCAAAGCACTTTAGAGTCTGAAAACTTTCTCATAGCTTCCCTGTGAAGTATCGGATACATGATCAGCTTGCCAATTTTACTGTTGTTATTCAGAAATCCCTGTTGGAGAAACCTGAGTTCTTTATTGGAAAATGGTATGAAGGGAAGTGCTTGTGCCATCATCGACTTGATGTTGATGTTGAGGACAATTGGCGTTATCTTAAGATGGATTATCCTCTGGCCACTGTGGTGAGGTATCTGCTCTTCGATGGTGCTAATGCTATTTATCCCCCAACAGATATGGAGGGTTTCCTTGATCAGTTCCGATTTGAAGTGACACAATTCACAGATGACTGGTACACAATTGTCGATACGGACCTGGACTTTACGGTTCAAATCTGTACAAGACAGCTTGAGGATCCGAAGCTTGACCTGGTGCAGTGGTATGCAACAAATCTTGAGGTCAATGAGGAGTATGATTCCACTTACACGGATTGAGCATTGGCACTTGTTGATACCATCCAACATCAGCTTCGGGCTGAGCATGATCCCTTGGTTCTCGAAAATGAGTACATCACTGAGGATGATGCAGACTTTGACTCAGCATTCCCTGAAGTGTCACTAGTTAGCGAAGAGGGCCTTTACTCAGAAGAGGAGGGACCAGCAAACTCAGCTCCGTTTCCTCGTCCATGAGAATTTGGCATTGTTGGGGACGTCTTTTGTACTCAACTTCGCTGAGTGCTTAACAACTGTGCACCCTATCCCAGGGATGAGTCCATTGATGAGGACTGAGTTTCACATCCCAGGTTCATTTGCTTTGATATTCATCAGCGAGACGATGATTATTTTGAGATCTATGACCAGGCATGTGGTCTTGAGAATTATATTCATGTATGACATGTTCGTTGTGAGTTATTCTCAATTGGCCAGTGGTATGCTGAGCAGTGCGCTCAATGGAGCAGCTGGCCAGTGCCTGAGGAAGTTGGCGCCACCTGGTTGTACGACATCGAGTATTATGATACTCTGGTCGGGTCAGTCCTGGAAGATCGTGCCTGTGACTTACTTGCTGTCGGTGCACCCTACGAGCACGAATCACAGATGTACATGTCAAGTGATTGTTTCTGCACTCACATCAGTGCTTGCAACTCTGACTTCATGACAATCTGGGATTATGACCGGAGACTCACATCGTATTTGCCTTGAGTGTTATTGGAGGATCCCTCCTTCAACATTGTTCATTGGTATGAGTTTAGACTGGCTGAGGCAGTTCTCCTGAACTGCCTGATACCAGATCCCAAGCCCCCTCGTCCGCCGCTGCGGCTGAGGTCAGTGGATGAGATTCTGCGCACTGCTACCTATATTGGCCAGATAGATGCAAGGGTGGGATATTTTGAGTTCAACCTGCATGCCATTCGAGCTGCTTCAAGCTGAAGCCCAGCAGTACAGCGGAATGCAGCATCTGTGAAGGACGGCAACCATGTGTTGCCGAAACCGATTGTGATTCAGGTGCAGCTCAACGGACACCCAGTCCGAGCTCTGATTGACTCAGGATCCCAAGGTGATTTCATGTCTACAAAACTCGCTGATCAACTGAAGTTGCACATGACAGAGCTGGATGGACCTTTGAAGTTGCAGCTCGCAGTCCAAGGCTCACGTTCAACGATCAAGTATTTTGTTTGTGCACATTTTCAGTACCAAGGGATTGATGAGGAGCAGGGGTTTGATGTAACAAACCTTAGCTCACATGACCTTATTCTTGGTACCCCTTGGATGTTTCAACATAAAGTGTGTATTGGATTTAATCCTGCATGCGTAATTATTGGGAGTGACATCGCTATCCCTATTCGGTGTGGAAACACTACCAACATTTCCCTGCGCACTGTTGATCTGCACGATGGTGAGCTTGAGCACATGCGTGGTGAGCTCTGTGCACAGGCGGAACCACTGTGTCGAGACGTGCACGAGACCGAGCTGCCACCATTTTGCGCCATTAATCATACTATTCCTCTGATTGATGAGGACAAGACCTACCCATGGTGGCCATCTCGGTGCCTGGAGGCATTCAGAGGTCAGTGGGCAGAGAAGTGTGATGCTTATTTGAAGTCTGGGCGATGGCGGATTACATCAGCAGGGAACACAGTCCCTATGCTCTTGATCCCAAAGCCATGTAAGGATGGCCAACCGCCTGAGGTACGTACTGTTATTGATCTGTAAGAGCAGAACAAGAATACTCACAAGTTAACATCCCCCTTGCCAGACATGGAGGGCATGCTCAGGAGGGCAGTGCGCAAACGCTTCTGCTCTGCTCTCGATCTTAAGAGCGCATATGAACAGATCTGTATAGTTCCTGAGCACGTTGACCATACAACGGTGACGACACCTGACGGAAATATGGTTAGCCTCGTAATACAGATCAGCAATTGTAATGCGCTGGCTACTTACCAGAGTTTAATGAATCATTTATTCTCTGCATATATTGGATGCTTCATGGACGTCTATCTTGATGATATTATTATTTATTCAGATATCTTGCATGAGCATTGTGAGCATGTTCTCAAAGTGTTAGGAATTCTCAAGCGCGAAAAGCTTTACCTTAGCCATAATAAATGCCGTTTCATTGAGCCAGAACTGAGGCTCCTAGGCTGGGTCGTTGACAACGATGGCATTCGTATGGACCCCGATAAGGTTGATTCCATCACAGCCTGGAAGACACCCACCAATCACGACCTATTGTGAGGTTTTATTGGTGCGGTGGGTTATCTCGCAGATGACGTACCTGGTGTCCGGATTCCATTGGGGGTCCTGACATCCTTGACTGGTGATGCCTCAACATTTCACTGGACATTTACGGAGCAGCGGGCTTTCAAGGATGTAAAGTGTCTTGTCCAGGAAGCACATGAGCACTGTCGGGTGCCACTCTCCTATGCAAAGGGGGCTGATCCCATCTGGATGGTGACAGATGGTTGTGCTACTGGCATTTCAGGTGTTGTCAGCCAGGGGCCTGATTGGAAGGGGGCTCATGTAGCTGCTTTCTATTCTGCTAAGCTTGATTCTGCACAGCAGAACTATCCGATGCACAAAGTTGAAATGTTGGCAGGCATTGAGACAATGTTGAGACACCGGGACATCCTGCAGGGTGTTAGGTTTAAGTGGATAACAGATCATAAAGGCTTAACACACCTGTTAAACCAGAAAAACCTCTCGGGGCATCAGGCCAGGTGGCTCAAAAAGATTTGTTCATTTGATTTTGAAGTTGTGTATGTCCGGGTGAGGAGAACGTCCTGGCTGATGCTCTGTCCAGGATGTACTCGAATGAGTCACCTGGGATGGTCCATGCGAGAACAGAATACACATACCATGACGTGGTCAATGAGGACGACGAGGTTTCCGTGGGTGGTATGCCTATCATGGCTGGTCTTGAAGCTCCCGTGGTGCGTGGGCGCCCTCATAGAAAGCCTGTTGAACCTGCTGAGTCAGGTCATCCAGAGATGGTGAGTGAATTTGCTGCACATTTTCGTGATCGTTTCATTCTTCATGGCCCACAGGAACGAAAGGAGGGCAGGAGTGTACACACAAGCACGTCAACCCTCAACCCAGAGTCTTTGAAGGAAGAAACTCGGTCGAACCTGAATGTGTCAGAGCGTGCCGACTCTGGCATGCCGTCATCCCAAAAGGAAGATGTGGCACCTCGGACTGCTCCCGAGGCCTTGGCATGCTTGTCCGAACCAGCATCTCTGTTGGAATTAGTATGCAGAGGACCTGTTCTTCAAGTGCATAGTGGAAAAACCCAACAAGTTCTGTAACTTTGAGGAACAGTCGGGTCTGATCTATTTAAAGAACAATGAGGATCGTGTTCTGTGCATCCCATGGATTCTTGTCAAGGGCCAAAGTGCATGAGAAATAGTCATCGCAGAGGCGCACTCCCTTCTAGCGCACCTCGGTGCTAGTAAGACCATCAAGTACCTCCATCAGCAAGTATGGTGGAAAGACTTGGTACCTGACACAAAGGCATTTTGCGAGACGTGCACTACATGCAAGCGCAGCAAACCAAATAATCAGAAGCCGTATGGATTACTGAATCCTTTACCTGTTCCAGGGCTTCCTTGGGAATCGGTTGGTGTTGATTTCGTTGGGCCTTTGCCTGAGTCAAGCAACTGTAATGGATCATTTGATTCAATAACCGTGGTGATATGTCTGCTTACCTCGATGGTACATTTAATTCCAAGTCGCACAACATATACAGCCAAGCAAGTGGCCGAATTAATGTTTGAGGAAGTCTATCAGCATCACGGACTGCCAAAGAATATCATTAGTGATTGAGACTCGCTCTTCACAAGTGTGTTCTGGGGAACGTTGCACAAGCTGCTAGATACCTCACTCAAAATGTCAAGTGCCTACCATCCTCAGACCGATGGATCAACAGAACGAGCCAATCGTACTGTTACCCAAATGCTGAGGCAGTGCATTGGCGATGACCAGAAAGACTGGGTCGCTAAGCTTCCAGCCATCAAGTTTGCCATTAACTCAGCTCGATCAGCTAGCACCGGTTATGCCCCGTTCTTCCTGAACTTGGGACAGATGCCTTGGCCAATGATTTGGGATAACCCAGCTAAGGCTGAGTACCCAGCTGTATGAACATTCGCACAACAGAAGAAGCTCGCACTAATTGCAGCGCATGATAGCATTCTGGCGGCATGAGTCAAGCAGACTCGTGACGCCAATTGCAAGCAGCAGATGGCGCCCTTTAAAGAAGGTGGTCTCATCTATGTTTCGACAAAGAATATCTCATTCGCCAAGGGTCTGGCCTGGAAGCTCATTCCGAAATATATTGGGCCTTATAAGGTGCTGAAAGATTTTAATAATCAGTCATTTCGCATCACCTTGCCTCCACACTTGAAACAACAAGGAGTACACGATGTGTTTCACTCATCACTCCTTCGGATTCATATTTCCAACGATGACCGACTGTTTCCTGGTCATCTGGACACACAGCTTGGGATTGGACCCAAGATCACCAAAGAATGGGCCGTTGACTGAATTTTGAGTCATTCAGGCTCAAAAAAAGGCGCCATTTTTGAGATTTTGTGGTCAGCAGGAGACAAGACTTGGTTACCTTATGATCAGGTGGACCATTTGCATGCGCTGACAGCTTATCTCAAGCTGCTAGGCATGGACTCCATCGACAAATTGCCAAAAGGAGATGGGAAGCCCCCAAGCGACGATCCCCAGGTTTTCTTGGGTGTGATATCGCCCACTATTAAAGTCTCAGGGATGCCTATCTTCCCGCATCACCCACTTTGCCGCCTTGTCATTTTCCTGCTTCCTATTGAGTACATCCTCCATTTCTTTCGCTCGCCGCCTGCAGTGGCATCTTGCTATCACCCATACCCCAGGAAGAAGGGCAAAGGTGGACCCACATCCAACAACAAGGCCAACCAACCATCCAGTGGCAGTGACGTCCCCTGGACAATCAAGAACGACAACGTTCTTTGACTCACAGGCACTCTGTTCCTGATCAAGGACATTCCAGACACTGAGCATGGAGAGTACCCTGAGTTCACTGTCAGTGCCGCTGAACTGGCTAACTGCATTGATCATGACCAGAAGCTTCGCGAGTCCCTCAATGAAACCTTGGAACTTCCACAACCATTTGTGTACCCCCTAGTTGCGAGAGCCTTCAACCACGGACAATATGGTCGTGAGCAGTTTGTGACCTATGAACTGTTCAGTGACAAATTTGACAATTCGGGTGATCCAGTGGACCTCTCAATGTTCAACATCACACTCGAGCAGCGGGGTATTGTGGTTCAGGCTTGGGACACAGCCAACAATAAACACACCCACAACAAGGTAGCCAAGATGTTCATGAAGAAGCAAGAATATGCTGCAAAGAGCTACAAGAAATGGGAGGCGAAGCGCCAGTCTCAGAAGAACAACCAGGCTCTCGAGAATCTGGGGAAAGTGCATGCCAAGAAGTATGAACAGCGCCAGTGCAGTCAGCAAAGCTCACAGTGCCAAGAGCACTCACCTTCAACCAACAATCGATTGCCTTCTCGCTCGCCTGTTGCTTCTTCTTTGCAACAACACGATGATCACAAAGTGCTGCTGCCGTCCAAGGAACCGCAAGTCCCACGTAGCCAGATTGAGATTATCAACAGCACCCTCAAGGAGGCAGGGCAGCAGCACGCCAATGACGACCGCATGGAGGTTTAGGCCTTGCAAGCAATGCCTGGAGGGCAGGTGTAACGAAGTGACCTTTTTTTCGACTTCTTTCCTTCTTTTTGCACATGGTTCCTAGTGTGGAGTCCTCGCCTCAGATTACGTAGGCTCGGACTATCTTATCCTCCCTATCTTATCTTCTCTCCCTGTGATTCACTTAGTTACTTTCCCAGGCCTTGTTATCTACTGGTATATAAGTTCATGTCCGTAGTTTCGTAGGCCCAGTGAATTCACCTCTGTTAAAACTGTCTTGAGTTCCTCTGTGTGCCGGCTCCACCCTCTAGTTGCCTTCGCCACTCGAGTCCCAGCTGTCACAATAATCCTCATGGGTGGCGCGAGCTGCACTGTTGCGCACGCATGCTGCAAGGGCATCTGCAATGTTGAAATCAGGCTGTGTCTTGAGTGCCCGTGTGCATGCCGCTTCCATCTGTGAATGATGTCAAGGGTTGATTAGGGGGGGTCCACCTCGCGAGGGAAGCAAGAGAAAAGGGGCACACACCCTGCACCAGTGCTCAAAGTCCCAGGGCTCCGAGTCTCCAAGCAGAGGTACAGGGTGAAAGAGAAAAAGAAGAAGGAGAAGATTAACAGAAGGATGTGGCACTCACCATCTGCCTACTCACCTTTGCAGCACGACGTGAGAGATGACAAGGGGTGTGACAAAGATGGTGCACAAGTTCAAAGGCAAAGGTTGGAGAGGTTGTCCCTGTAAAGTCCCAGGGCTCTGAGTCTCTGAGAGATGACCTAAACAAGCCTCTGAGACCAAGGCAGCTGGTGTTGAACACTGTGCAGAGGTAAATTTCAACATGACAGCAGCGCAGCCACTCAAACGTGATGGCAACATGTAATGATCACATGTATGATGTGCTTCGCGCCAAATCTGTCAGAATATAGCTGAAGAAAAAGAAAAAACAATGCTATGCACCAAACAAAAGTTCAAGTCTTGCAGACAGAATCTGCCAGAATCTGCAAGAATCTGTGAGAATCTATGAGAACAATAAACGGATTGTGATGAAAGACGAGGCTATGAATCTACAAGAAATGTAATGGTTACGCAGCTGAGCAAAAAAGTACCTCTCAATTCTGGCAGATTGTGACGCATTCTGTCACAATCTGCCAGAAAAGTGAGGATTCTTACCCATTCTGGGAGATTCTCACAGATCTTGTCCTATGTATCCTAGCTGAGCTCAAAAAAATTCAATCCTTGATTTTTGTCCAGAACGGACCATCATACAGATTGTTGATGTTTGTTGACGATCGTCAACTTTCGTCAATGTTTGTCAACAATCTCCAACTTTTGTTGACTTTCTTTGACTTTTGTCAAAGATTTCCACTGAAATACCCTGATCTTCAACATTTGGCACAGATCAATATGGTAGGTTTCTTCAACTTTCTGTTACCATTTTCACTGTGAGCCTCTCATTCTTTCTTTGACATCCAGCCAGAATCTTCAAGAATCTTTATATTTTTCTTCAGGAATGTGTTAGACCCCATGTTACGACCTGTGCTGAGCCGAGGTGTGCTGGAGACCGGGTGCGTTCGGATGTGCTTCGGAAGAGATTTCAGATGTGGACTTTTGGCTTCAATGTTCGTGTGTTGCGCCCTCGAGATAGTCTAAGTCCGATTTCAGAGTATAGGCTTTTAGGCCGGTGTCGGATGTCGAACGGATGCGAGCGGATGAGAACGGATGAGAACGAGAGGAGGAGATTAGAAGTCGAGTATGATATTCAGACTGCCGGACTCGGTCGTCCTGCAGTCCCTTAAATACTACAACGAATAATGGACTACCTATGACAATGAGCCGTCGGCTGTCTAACTCGTGGAGGGAGCGTGTACGCTAATGACAATAGAATAATGAGGCACGTGTACACTAGGAAAATCAAAGACAAATAACAAACAAAAGAACAATATAATCGAAGAACCGAAACGGCTATGAACGGATGTCTCTCGGATGTCTCTCGGATGTCTTCGGCACGGAACGGGTCGTGACAGTACCTCCCCCTTAAGGCCGAGCCCCCTAGGCCTTTTACTGTGGCTGATGTTTGGTATTGTATACGCCATGTTGAACTTGGCCGTTTAGGGTTGTTTGCATCCGGAAAAATTTCTCTTCCGCTCTACCACCTGGCCCCCCCAAAACCCGAACTCCACAATGTCCAGCCCCACCAAAACATCCGAAACCCAGCGCCTACTCGAACAACAAAGGAAGTTGGCGGAGGAGAAGATGCGGGAGAGGGCGGAGAAAGCGAGGCAGAGACGGTTGGAGGAGGAGAGGGAGAAGGCTGAGGAGGAGGAGATGGCCTGGGCGCTCGCGGCAGTGGAGCAAGCGGCGGAAGAGGAGCGGCTGCGAGAGGAAGCGGCGGCTCAACAACGGCTGCAAGAACAGGAGGCAGCTGAGAGGCGTAAAGCGGCGGCCAGGAAAAGGGCCGAGGAGAAGAGGGCTGAGGAGGAGAGGAGGAAAAGGGCCAAAGAAGAACGAAAGGCCGAAGAGGAGCGAGCAGCCGAAGCGGCACGGCAGGCGGCTAGGCCTACGGCCTACCCAAGCACGGACGAGGAGGACGAAGAAGTGGTTGTAGAACGAACCAAGCGCAAAGGCAAGGGCAGGGTCGTCGAGTCATCCGGTGAGTAGTTGGTTTTCGGGTGTCGGTCAGTGGCTAACGGCTGTCGTAGATGAAAGTAGTTCGGAGGGCGAGAGTGGGAGCGAGGGAGAAGGAAGAAGGGGCAAGGAGAAGGAGAAGGGGCAAGAAGAAGAAGACGAAGACGAAGACGAAAAGGATGACGAGGAGCCGGAGATGGCTGCGGCCACAAAGGGGAAGACGAAGACGGCACGCAAGGTGAAGTCGCAAGACGAGAGGAACCGGATCCGGGACGAGGGGATCGCGAAGGCAGAGGCGAGCTGGCCTGTGACGCAGGAGCCATGTGCCCACTGCATCGCGGCTGGCATTCGTTGCCAATGGAATCCGGGTGCCGTGGAGAAGTGGCGTACGGCCGTCGAGAACGGCAAGGGGAAGAAGTGTGCGCCACCTGGTGTCTCATGCCCGGCTTGCATGCGCGCCAAGATTACGTGCGTGCTGCCGGCTACGAAGTGGATGCGCGACCGGCTCGAGAAGAACAACGACGGCAAGAGGAAGCGGGACAATGACGACGAAGGGGACTTCGAGCCAGAGGGAAGGTTGAAGAGAGTGAGGGTGGAAGAGGAGGAAACGCCGCGAGCCGGGCCTAGCTGCGAATGAACGCGTCGGGCGGCGGCTGTTGGGGCGGACCAGGCGCGAAGGAGGCAGAGGAGGGAGCAGGCCGAAGCATCGGACGACCCATTGGTCCACCTGGTGTGGTCCATGGAGAAGATGCGCTGGCAGCAACAGTCGACGAGCCGGGCGGTCCTCGAGCAACTCGAGGTGACCAACCGGCTCTTGACTCGGTTCGTCACGGCCTATGAAAAGGCCCACGCGGAGAAGAAGGAGGAAGACAAGGAAAAGGGACCGGAAGAGGGAACGGGAGAGGGAGCGAGCCAGTAGGTATGGGGCGACAAGGAACGGCTACGAAAAAAGTACATAATTGTATATAGAATTTTTTTTTTTTTTGTTGACTTGAAATTTTTTATGACTTGAATTTTCTTGAAACGAAGGGTTGAACGGAAGTGATTGGCACAAAACGGAAGTGAACGGAAGATAAACAGAAGAGATATAAACTTAGAAATAGAGAAGTGCAGATGGGTCGAATGAGTGAAAAACAGAAGAGGACGGAGGTCAAACCGGCAAAGGGCCTGGCTTGTTGGGATATGCCTCATGGAATTCTTGGACTAGTTCTTGAGCGTTCGGGAGTTCATCGGCTGGCTGCCAGGAGAACTCCTCATCCGTGTTCTCATAACCATACCATCGAACATAGTAGAGGAGCTTGCACTTGCGTCGTCGATCGATCTTAGAATCGACTATCTCGGCGACCTCGTACTCGAGTTCACCTTCGATTTCGACGGGTGCTGGCAGCTCAACGGCACGGCTCGGAATAGTACTCGGCTTGAACGGCTCGAGCATCGAGACATGGAACACTGGATGGACTAGTCGCATAGACTGGGGAAGGCGGAGGGTGAAGGAGTGAGATCCTACTTGGGCTATGATCTCGTATGGGCCGAGGAACTTTTCGGCTAGCTTCTTTGATGGACGGGTGGTTCGGAAGAATTGAGCTTTGACAAAAACTTGATCGCCGACCTTGAAGTTCGGAGCCGGAAGACGTCGGTTGTCAGCTGCCTTTTGGTAGCGCTTTTGAGACTCGTGAATGTTTCCCTTAAGGAACTCGTGGAGTTCTCCTAGGTCAACAGCGAACTCTCGAGCACGGCTAGAGGCAATGTCGCGTTCCGGATGCACGGCTAAGTTCGGATGATAACCCTTGTTGGTGAAGAAGGGCGATACGCCAGTGGCATCGTGTGGAGCGTTGTTGTAGGCGAATTCGGCAAGCGGAAGGAGAGTGACCCAATTGTCTTGTTGGTAGTTGCAGTAGGTTCGAAGGTACTGTTCCAAGGTTTGGTTGGTGCGTTCCGTCTGGCCGTCACCTTCCGGATGGTAGCCGGAAGTGAAATGCAGTTCTATGTCGAGAGCCTTACCCAGGCCTCGGAAGAAGTGCGAGACAAATTCGGAACCGCGATCGGAAGTGACGTGAGAGGGGACACCATGCTTGGAGAATACATTGAGGACGAACAACTCGGCCAACTTGACGGCTGTGAGGTCGGAATGTGTCGGCACGAACACAGCTTCGTGAGCCTATCGACGATGACTAGGATGTCAGTGAAACCAGCGGAAGGCGGAAGCTTCTCAATGAGGTCCATGGATATAGAATTCCAAGGACGCTCGGGAACCGGAAGCTGCTTAAGGAGCCCATAAGGCTTGTGGCGGCGCGGCTTGACTCGGTTGCAAATGACACAAGAATTGACGTAGTCTTTGACAAAGTCGCGCATGCCAGGCCATGCATATTCTTGTTGGACCAATTTGAGAGTCTTGTTCTGGCCG